ACTCAGTTGTAAGTTTATAAACTCATTTGTAAGTTTCATACGAGTTTCAAGTTATAAATAAAGGAATCAATTTAAATATATACAAACTACTTTTCCCTTCAACGTTGTCCTTCATCTAGGATTGTTGTAATACACTATACTAACTTGCTATTGAGTTCGTCATTACGAGTTCGACTAATATATCTTAAATTCTAAGATGTGATAAATTGCCGAGTTGATTCAAGTATAACGGATATCTGTAAGACTTAGAGAAAATCCTAAGGTCAGAAACTCTAACGTGTAGAATCAGCTGCCGCAGCCTTTCAACTTAGACGTTAAGATAAACGAAAACGAACTCAGTAACAATATTGAAAGTTTTAAGAAAAAATTTAGTAATAAATAAGAAGCCATAATCTTTTGTGAAAGATGAATTATTTTCTTCTTATTTTGCTATATTCAGGAAATATGATATCATAAATTATATATCTAAGCTCTTTCAAATAGTTTCTCACAATATTTATATGAATAGTTAGAGATAGTGCAAATTTGAGTTCTGGTAAAATATTCTCATTTATTTATATCTTTAACATTTGTAAGATAATTTTCTACTTATGCTTCTAAACAAATAATTTTACTTGGAGAAGAATATCTTCATTCTAAAGAAAACTTCATATTTTAGCATAATGTTTTTGACGAGAGTAGAGAAATTTATAATTTATTATATACTTACATATCTACAAATAAATGTATTTAGTATGATATATTCTTTTTTTTGCTGCATTAACAATAATTTCACTTGCTTGCATTTTTGGATGATTACTTCTTACAAGTGAAAATAAAAATAATGCTATTTAAACATACCTAAACCCCATTATTATAATAAGACTATTATAATATAATTAATCTATATAATGCATTATAAATAGTTACGTAAGTGATGTAGTTAACAGAATCAACTTAATAAATGTATCTAATTTATATAACACAAGAAAATGTAGATCTAAATGTCAAACATTTCAAACATATTTGATATATTTGATATATTTAATATAGTTGACATATCTGATATATTTAATATATAAGACATACCTAACATATATGATATATTAGATTTACATTAAAAAGTATATAAAGAAGACTAAATTTTTGATAAGAAAGTAACTATCAATTGCTAAATGCAATATAATTAGTTTAGCGATAACTATGTATAACCTTTTTTGTAAAGTAACGTAAGACTACTCTTTTTCTATTTGTGATTAATTCTTTTTTTGTATTTTCTTAGTTTAGTATTTTTAGTTTTTAGTTTATTTATTTATCAATAAATCTTTATTCGATTTACTTAAAACATTTTGTGACACTTTGTATTTGTAACGTAATTTATGTTTAATTTTAACTTAATATATGAAAATATACTCGATAGTATATTGAATACATTAGGCAGTATATAGTGAATGAATTATATATTCATCATTACTATGTAAACTTAAAAGAATCACTACTCGAACACTCTATCTAATTATCATAATTCGTAAGAATTGCATATTAACACTATTTATTTTTATTAATATCTAACATTAGATTTTCAAAAGCATTCAGGATATATCAATTGTAACTCTTAACCTCATTATCTGATTGTTTATCAGCATTATCATCTAATTGTTCATTAGCATTATCATCTATATCTATATTAGTTTCATTATCTAATTCTTTAATTTCTTTAGTAGATTTCTTAACATTCTAAAAGGTATATAACTTAAGGGTCCCTTTGCTACTTCACAATTATTGCTAATTCTTTTTTCTTTAGTACAGCTTAAATTTTCTATATAACGTAATCTATGTATTTCTTGAGAAGTATGTTTCTAATAATAATTTTTTGCTACTTCTTTACAATACTTATAGCATTATCATTTTTTACTGGCTCATTATGAATGGAAAATTATTATTATCATGAAAAGAAGTATTATTAATGTTGAAATCTTCAATATCATCATAGCCTTTCAGCTCATCATGAAAAAATATCATTAACATCAAGATAACTTTTAAAATCAAATACATTATCAATATTAATCTTATTTTTGGTATACTGACGCTTAGCTTTTTTAAGTATTTTTGATATTTTGTTAAATATAGCATATTAAAGTATTACCATACAAGTAAGTTAACTTTTTTATTTTTAATTAATATTGGTTTTTATAAAAAAAAGATTTTTTTAATTATAAAATGCAAAGTAAAAAATTTATATTCACGTCAAAAAAATAAAATTAAGTTATGCATATCATCTATCAATTAGCTAATATATTTAATATTGTGAAATCTGTTCAAATCTTAAGAGTTGAAATCTTAAAACCTATTTATTGCATTCTATATATAATCATATTTATCATACACCTTAAATGATATAGGCCAATATTAATATGACAAATAATTTTAATTTCAGAATTTTATATTAACTCAATATCACAATAACCTAATAAATATTGAAATATTTTAGAATATGCTTTCAAGCATTTTAATCGATAACATCTTTATTATATTTTATTAATTATAAATACTAATTTATTATACATATATAATATACAAATATGAATTCTAATTATCATAATAACTTTCAAATTATTTCATCACATGATATATATATACACTAATAAAATTACGAGATTTCCTTATCATGTGATAAATAATCAATATTTTAAATTTAACCACTTAAAAAAATTTTAGTTAGAACTAAGTTGTATATACTATAATAATAAAATTTTTATATTATAGTATAAAGATCTTTTGAATGTGTTAGATATAAAGAATATTTTTTTCAAGAAATTTTCTTTATGTAGTTATTCTAAATTTATAATCTATGATTATAAATCTTATATCTTTCATTATTATATAAATAAAATTTTTTTATTTTCAAATTAATTATATATGATTTAAAATATATTATATTTATTTACAATTTTGTTAATAGTTATTAAAACTTTAGAATTAATAATTTTGAATAAAATATATTAATTAATAAAGAGTAATTTATTTTTTTTACTAGTATTCTTAGTTGATATAGAATTATATTTTTATTATAATTATAAAAAAAAATTTGTTAATGTATTATTTTATTTTTTTCGAATAACATAATTTTAATTATATTAAAATCTTATTTTTTAGCCTATCGGTATTTATTAATAAAAGTTTTACAAATTTTTTATGAAAAAATTTTTTTTAAAAAAGGATTTAAATATAAAAGGTAATTTAATATACAGTATATATAATTGTTAAAGATAAAGAAAAAGTAATTTGAAAAAAAATAATAAATCATTAATAATATAATTATTTCTTATTAAATTTTTAATAAATATAATATCAAATGATATTTGTGATATTATATGATATGTTGTAAAATTTTAAATAATTAATCTTAACTTATCTAATTTAATTCTAATTTTAATTTTAATCTAATTTTACATTATAAGTAATAGTAGTAAATTTGATAGTAATATTTAAAATAAATATTAATACATAAAATAAATAAAAGAAATAATAAATTATATTAACAGAAAATTATAAGTTTTAGAAAAAATAATATATATTACCTCATAATTACAAAAAAAAATTTATTATTATTTTATTATATTACAAAGAGATTCAATTTGATTAATTATGTCTTGATTATAAAAATTTAATATAATTATAAATAATTTAAGAAAAAAATATGTATGTAATAAATATGCATATAATAAATGACATAAATTTGTATTTTTTTAATTATGTATTATATTTAAGAAACTAACTTTATACTTTTTTTCTAAAAATAACTAAATTAACTGAATTTTTTACCAGTTAGAATAAAACTCAAATATCAATATTATTTTTAATCTTGAATCTATCATCTATTTTTTGATTTTTTGATTTTAACTTTCAATTATAATTTTTATAACAGTTTCATTTTAAACAAGTTTTGAAAACGTTCCTTTTTATATTAAAAATGTGTTCAATATTGAAAAAAAAATTATTTCTATTATTTCTATAATATTTTTTATCTATACATTTTATCAAATGAGAAAGTTAAGGTAACTCATAATATGATAACTAATATATAAGTTAATAGATTTTTAAAACATAAAGAAAAAATGTTATTAAAATAAAAATTTACATAAAAATTATTAACAAAATTCTCAATATACAAAAATAAAGCATATCATTATATTTACAAATTTATAATTCTTATAGTTAGCTTTTAGAGAGAATAGTAGTAGTTAAAGCTATTAAATATATTAATGATCATTTATATAAAATATTCTATTTGAAATATAAATTTATTCTAAATAATCATTTCAATACATGATCATTACAAAAGCCATTTTTTTAAAAAAGCTTTGTTATGATTATTTTTAGTATACTAAAAACTTCAGAATAAATTTAGATTAATATTTTTTAAATGTATTAAACTTTAAAATCTTAAAAATTTATATATAAAAATACTTTATTAAAATTTATATATATACTTTATATTATATTATAAATAAATAAATTTAAAATAATGAAAAAAAAATTATAAAATTTATAAAAGGTATTAATTAATATAAGAGAAAATTTATATATTGCATATGCGATCGCTGCTATTTATCACAATGTGTCACACTCCTCTGCCCTTTATTTTTAATTATTCTGGAAACTGAGAAATTTTTTATATGTGAAACCCTATTTGTCATCTCGGTTAGTGTCACATAGTTTAGGTTTGGGTTAGGGTAAGGATATATATATATAAAGGCGATGTATAAGGAGTATCGCCCCCCCGCGATGAATAAATTTAAATAAATTTACAAATTTATGATTATATAAAATTAGAAATTTGTAAAAAAAAAGGATTAAGATCATGTGAATTGATTAATTTATAAATAAATTATAATTTTTAAAAATCAAGTATTCATGGGCTTTTAATATGGATGATATAAAATCAAAGGACAAATACAAGGAGAAGGCTTTACAATATATAAAAAAAGAAGGGAGCACGCGACCACTTTCATTTTATGAACTTAAAAGGCAACTTGGAAATGATGTCGGTATTCTTCAAGAGTTGGTCGCTGAAGATATAATGTACGTACCTGATATTGAAACATTTTTTAAAATAATTTTAAAACTTAAAAATGTTTTCCTTTCTTTTTATTCATTTCAAGACTAGAACAAAAGGTTGAAATAAATGGACTTTCATCGGATACATCGTTCGACGTCATAACTTTATATTTTAACAAAATCAATAAAGAGCTTCAGCCGAAAGACAATTTAACGACTACATTAAAAGTGATTGTCATTCATTTTATTTTATTTTAAAATATTTATACATAATTTCATTAATTTCAAATTACGCGTTGTTAAAACAGAGAAAATTTCCAACAGAGGAATCGAATTCACAAACAGATCCTAAATCAGTTGACCTTAACTCTCAAATTCAGTCGCTTAGAAGTCGGCTTTGTGAATTGAACAATATCGAATTGAATTTGAAAATACAATTACGGTATGTGTTGAAGATCTTTTAAACATTGATTTTTTTTTTTTATTAAAATTTGTCCTTTAATAGAGAAAATTTGGACATACAAAAGACGTTGGATAATCACTACCGTCAATTGCACGAATATAATGAAATAAAAGATACGGGACAAATGTTGTTTGGGAAGTGTGCAGAAATTGAGGGTACAACAACAAGGGAAATATATAAAAAGTTTGAAGTTGAACTAAGTGATTAAAAAAGAATAAATAAAATAAATAGCATTTTACTATGATGGTTCAAAATCTAAAATAGCAATCGTTCCACTTAAATAACCGACTATTACACGTCGGTGATCCATATTTAAGGTTCTAACAACTTCTTTGTTAAGGATAGCTTTATATTTCCCTTGAGGATACTCTATTTCCATAGGTTGACTCGTTTCTACATTACACAAACAGTGCGGTCGCGTCGCATTAGGTTGACATGTCTCATTAAGTAATATCAATTGCAAAGTACCAGAATTAACACTTATCATCCTTCCTCCTCTTGCATCAAAATCATAAACCCTAGAGTCAGAACAAAGTCTTATTATATTTAATATATTTGATGATGATACTATCTGATCAGGAAATCCGTTCATTGAGTCCTCCGCACTTTTTGATAAAAGATAATTTTGAATGTAACTCCATCCTAATAATCCTTCATTAAAAGGTGCTGAAAAAATGCAATTCCCATTCGGTATATCAAACGCTTTGATGCTAGAACTACTAAGAGACAAAATGGTACTTTCAAATATTCGAATTTGCACCGCTTCTGCTGGTATGGTCGCTAATTTCTCTCCCGTTCTCCAATTCCAGACAATTAAGCTTCCATCAAATGCGCATGATGCAACATATGATTTAGATAAACTAATACATCTTACAGCGCTAACATGTCCGCTCAATTCCCTTAATAGCTCACCAGTTTCCATATTCCAAATGAAAGATGAACGAAAAAATGTAGACGCGGCTACAATTTGTTCTTCGAGCAAGAAATCCACACAACTAAAAGAGTTTCCACACAATGTACGGATACATTCTCCTGTGTCGATATTCCAAATTCGAACCGTTCTATCTGCTGATCCAGTTACCAAAATATTTTCTTTTAATTTAGCATCCGATATACGTTCTTTATGACCTCTAAGGATGTTTACTGTCTGAACTCGTCCATTAATCCAATTTACTTCTCTTCGATATTGTTTTTGATACCATTTTTTCCATCCTTCTTTTGGAATATTCATATTCTGTGCTGACTTGGCACCTTTATCTATTTTTAACATCTCCAAACATTTCAATCTCCATATTGCAGATTCATTAGTAATATTCATCCATGTCTTACAAACCTAAAATATTATTGAGCATTAAAATTTCGATAAATGACAAAATCTTTTGAAAAAATGACAAATATAAATTACCTCGCGACAAGCACATAAGTTTTTATCGTCAAGGAATGCAAATATTTTCACCGAAAGTTCAGGGGGTAAAGATCCGATAATATCAAATGCACCAAAGCCTTTTAATTTCAATCCTTGTTGTAAGGTAAATACTTCGTGTGGGTCACATTCTTCAACAAGAGACAGCAAGCTATAAGATATCAGGACTGTTTTTTCTTACACGTAAAACTTTAAAGACATTTCATTAAGTTAATTTTTAAGACTTACAAAATTTTACGTTTTTCCCTGTCGAGAATTCTAAATTCAGATAATACTCTTTCTATTTCGTTTTGCATAATAAATTTTTTTATTTTTTTTTTTTTCCTTTTTTTTTTTTCTCTTTTTTGAATATTTTATAGACTATTTTGTGTACCGCTTATTATTATCTCCTGATCGACTACCATTCATACTGTTGAAAAGGTAATAGTGATAATATTAATTAATACATTTAATACATTTAACAAATTTTAAGCTTATAATTATTAATTAATAAGTAATAGTAATATTCTATCTTAATCTTGCTTTCCATTACAAATATAAAGCTTAAAATATATGGGAATAATATAAAATAATTTATATTTTCATTAAAAAAAAAAAAAGATACGAACAATTTCTATTTTTAAAAGATATAAGAATACGTTAATATTGCTTTGTTTCAATTCATTGGATTTATTATCGTCCAAATTTATAAAACATTTATGATTGGATTTTATCTCAATAATATTATATAAAAGAAAAAAATTAATAATTGTACTTATACATATAAATTGAAAGATATTTTCTTTGTGAAAACAAGTCATCTGGGAAAAAAATAGTAAACCCTCGATTTCAATAGTAAAAAAATTTGCAATTGAATTATCACATATTTTAGTGGCATAGATCATAATTTTCACAAATTTTAAATTTTAATTTTACGAAATGAATGAAATTAAAACCTATTAAATAAAAATTAGGAGTTGCCGAAGAAAAGGCCGAAAAATTGAATAACTTAGTGAATCTGAAGAGCGAATTGAGGAAGTTGAATGGTAAATTAAGAAAGAAAAAGATGAGGAAGTAAAGAGAATGAGGGGAATAAAGATGTTTTGGACGCTGAAATAAAAAATATTTAGAGGAAGAGCAAGGTACATTTCAGAAGGCGATAGAAGTGAAACAATTGCAAATTACATTAATTAAACAAGAAGGTAATCGTTATTTTAATTATTAGTCAAATTCTGAATTAACAAATAATTTTTAACTCTAGCCTTTCCAGTGATGGCAAATGATCAGGTCATTTAGCGATTTTGAATGATCACGGTCATTTGAGGTCATTTGTCATTTGGTAATACAAGGCCAAATTTTATATGCTGTCCAGAATTACGTTTGAAACATAATTATTTTGGCCAGAATTATTGAGATCACACGATATAATTTTTAAATGACACGTCATTTGTCATTTAATGTTGAAACGACCCAAATGACACTTACTATCACTACTAGGGATGGGGCGGTTCAGTTCGGTTAGGTTTCGGTTCTATAACTCCGGTTCTAATAGTAGAACTGAACTGAACCGGGTTCTTTGAACCGGTTCCAAATAACCAGTCTGAATCGGGTTTCTTGAACTGGTTCCAATTAACCGGTCTGAACTGGTTCCAAATAACTGATCTGAACCGGTTCTTCTATTCATTTCTACAGGATCAAGTAATTATAATTTAA